GAATGTTTAGCCAATGAAAACTTGCTATAAATAGCAGCATAACATTCTCTGATATACTACCAGAAGATAAAAGCATTATGAATAGAAGCAGTACAGCATCAGATATAGTGCTAGAAGATGAGCCCTTCAGGTTGGAAATCACTCAAAATATGATGGGGGAAGAACCACCTCCTCAAAGTGGAGTTGACAATGATGACATAAATGTAATCATTTTCAGGGTCTTCATTTACTGTTGGGGCACAATTCAAAATGAGTAACACCTGGTGTTGTTAAATGCCAGCCAGTTGGTTCTGACTCAAAGCGACCCAATGTAGCTTTTCCAAGAAGCAGTTGGTAGGTTTGAACTGCAGACTTTGTGGTTCGAAGTTCAGTGCTGAGCCTATAGCGCCACACCAGAAGCATCTGCAAATATCCATTAATAATCAGAACATAGAATGTACAATTGATGAATCTAGGATAATTGGAAGTTGTCAAAAATTAAATGTAGTGCATGAAGTTCAATATTCTATGCATCAGTGAGCTGAACTGGAATGGTATTGGCCTATTGGCTCAGACAGTCATATAGTTCACTATACAGGAATGACATACTGAAAAGGAATGGTATCACATTCATTGTCAAAATGAACATTTCAAGATCTGTCTTGACGTACAATGCTGGTTATGATAGAATAATAACCATATGCCTATAAGCAATACAAGTTAACATCACTCACTAATGTTCAAATAGTTGCATAGACACTACAGCCAGTGATGTTGAGATTGAACAATTATCACAAATTATTCAGTCTGAAATTAATTGAACATGCACTCAAGATGGATTGGAAATTACTGGTGCTTGGAATGTGAAGGTTAAAATCTAAGAGGAAGGATCAGTAGTTGGAAAATACAGCCTTGATGATAGAAATGATGCTAGAAATCGCATGACAGTATTTTGCAAGACGAAGTTTTTATTCATTGCAAATAGTTTTTAAAGTAACATAAAAGGCGAACTATGCACATGGACCTCATCAGAATATCATTAATCAAATTCACCACATCTCTGAGAAAAGATGGTTGAAAACTTCATATCATCAGTAACAAAAACCTATGAGTAGACTGTGAAAAAGACCATTAATTGCTCATAGACAGTTTTACAGAAGCTAAAGAAAATGAAAACAAGTCTCTGAGAGCCAAAATATAGCCGTGAATATATTCTACCTGAATTTACAGACAATCTCAACAACAGAGCTAGTGACCAAAGACCCAGCAGAATTGTGAGTTGACATTAAGAGCTTAATACATGAAGAAAGCAAAAGTTTATTTAAAACATTGTAAATAAAGGAAAAAACAAGGTGGATGTTAGAAGAGACTCTGGGAGAACAATTCAGAAGGCAGCTTTGAGAAGACAAATTCAAGTATTATAATGGAATATACAAAACATGCAGTTAGAAAACCAAAAGGGAAAATCACATTCAGCATTTCTCAAGCTGATAGAACTGAAGAAAACTATTCAAGCCTCAACTTGAAATATTGAAGGATTCTATGGTCAAAATACTGAATGACGCTGAAAGTATCAGTAGAAGATGGAAGGAATACACAGTCACTGTACCAAAAAAATATACCATTTCAAGAGGTAGCATATAATGAAGAAGGAAGACATGCAAGCTGCACTGGTGAAAAACAGGGCTTCAGGAATTGATGTAATATAAATTGAAATCTTTCAGCAAAGTCATGCAGCACTGGAGATGCTCACTCATTTATGCCAATAAATTTGGAAGACAGTTACTTTGCCATCCAAGTTGAGAGATCTATATTGTACCCATTCCAAAGGGAGGTGATCCATGGAATGCAGAAATCATCCAGTAATATCATTAATATTACATTCAAGTAAAATTTTGCTGAAGGTAAAGTAATTCAAAAGCAATTGCAACAGTAAATCAATAGGAATAGCCAGAAAACACATGCCTTTTCCTAAGAGGACATGGAACGAGGGATATCATTGCTGACATCAAATGAGTCTTGGCTGAAAGCAGAGAATACCAGAAAGATGCTTACTTGTGCTTTACTGAATATGCAAAGGCTTTTGACTATGTGGATCATGACAAACTATGGATAGCATTGCAAAGAATGGGTATTCCAGAACACTTAATTGTACTCATGAGGAACCTGTATATAGAGGCAGTTGTGCAAATAGAACAAAGGGATGCTAAGTGGTTTCAAATCAAGAAATGTACGTGCCTGGGTTGTATCCTTTCACCATACGTATTCATTCTGTATGCTGAGGAAATTATCGCAGAAATTGGATTATATGAAGAAAAGCCTAGCACCTGGATTAGAGGAAGACTCAACAACCTACAGTATGCATATGATACAACCCTGCTTGCTGAAATTGAAGAGGATTTAGAATACTTCAATATGGATTGCACCCCAATGTACAGAAAACAAAAATCATCACAACATCATAAATGGAGAAAAGATTGAAATTGTCAAAGACTTCATTTTGTTTGGATCTACCATCAGCACTCATGGAAGCAGCAGTCAAGAAATCAAAAGATGTATATTGTATTAGGCATATGCATATGTTTGTGCACAAGTGTATTTGTCCTTTGTTTCCTCCAGTATTTTGTGTCTAGTTAATTTTTTTTCTAGTGAACAATTTTTATTCTTCTTTCCTTCCTTTTGCTCCTCAAGAGTTGATAATTTCAATTGTCCTGTCATCACTTTTGTGAGCACAGTGCCGCTGTACAATAAACACTGGACTGGAAACCACAAGTTCTATGGTTCGAGCCCACCAGCCATTCCACAGGAGAAAGATGAGGCTTTTTGCCCTCGTAAAGATTTAAAACCTTGGAAACCGTATACAGGGTTGCTGAGTCGGAACAGGCTTGACAGCACTTAACAACAACAATCATCAAGTTTGCTGATTTTTTTCCTTCTACCAGTTGAACTCTTCTTTGAGCCCCCTAGTCAGTTTTCATTTCAATTTTTGTAACTTCCAGCTCTAATATTTTGATTTGTTCCATTTTATAATTTTTATTTTATACTAGTGTTCTCATTTTGTTCCTGTACTGTTTTCCTGATTTCCTTGAGTTATTTGTCCATGTTTTACTTTAGTTTTTACTGTTTTAATGATTTTTACTAAATATGTCCATTAACTGGACATACACACAGATAGAATCAATTGTTCTATGTATTTCTTTTGAATGGATCTTTGTTTCCTGTTTCTTTTTTTCCTTGTCATATTTTTTTTCTCTTGAAACTGGGACAGTTGAATATTTTACTGTGGCAATTCTGGAATTTAGATTTTTCTCCTACCCAAAATTTTAATGGCTTTGTGGTTCTTCAGGGTTTTCTTATATTGTTTTTAATTGTTGATGGCTATAGTAGTTAATTTGTTTAGTGACTTCCACTAACATTTTTCTCAATTACTATCTTCCTGGACATTTGTAGACACTGAAATCTATGTTTCCTAATTTGTGTTCAGCCAGTGTCTTGCCAGATTTTAATTAATGTCATAAGCAAAATACAAGAAAAGAGGAAAAACATCCTGCCTTTGCTAAATAGTTCTGTACCTGGCACCATACTTCCACTGAACATAGAGATCAGCCCTTAGGTGAAAGCATAGAATCTTCTCAGGTAATTTATGAGCATGTGTCTTGTGTAGAGTATGTGTCTGCTTTTCTCAATTCTTTCATATGCTTTTGAAAGCCTTGATTTTGAAAGATTCTCCCTGACCTGTCCGTCCAGTGTTAGGCACCGATTATAAAGTTTACTACCACTCTTAGGAGTCCTTTTGTGGCACTGTGGGTTAATGTGCTGGGCTGCAAGATTGGTTTGAATGCAAGGTCGGCAGTTGAAGCTCACCAGCTGCTCCTCAGAAACCCTATACACGGTTGCTATGAGTCGGTACTGACTTGAAGGCACTTAACAACAACAACAGCAACAACAACCACCCTTTAGCCCCCAGCTAGCTGCAGGTATTTACAGTGTTTCCTGCTGTTACTCTCCCCTACATGAGCTCTAATACGTGCCAAATTGAGATGACCACCATCAGGCAGTCCTCAGAAAACTTAGAACAGAAATGCACAATAATTTACAAATGATACCTGCTCTTTCCCATCTAGAACCAGAGACCAGGCTCCCTCTCTAGGAGGTCTGTCCATTTAAGCTTAAAGATTGCCATACCAAGCCATGGAGAGGGTATTGGGTACGGCATGTAGAAAACCAACAATTTCCTACCGTTTTTATGTTATGTTTTTATTACATGGCTTCCAGAGTTCAGAAAAGTTGGCTTTTTCCACTCTTCCTTTGAGTGTGTTTGTGTTGGGTGGTTGGGCGGAAGGAATGGGAGCATGCACCTGCTCATGCTCTTGCTCCAGACACCTCAATTTTCATTTTAAGATAATGCTATGCTGTTTCCAGTGACTGTTCATGGAATAGATGTTTAAAACATTTTTGCAAGAGCATGGTTATTTTCCTCCTAAGGCAGCTTAAACTTTGTCCCTTTCCACCCCTTCCTGGCAATAGCCACTATTGTAGCTGCTGAATACTAATGTCTCAGAGAGTAAAATTAGCAGTAGTTTTGTGAAAAGGTACTTTTCAAAAGGATAACAGAGACATATATATTAGCACACTTCATGTTAAAATAATTCATTGATTTATCTACTTGGGTAATGAAAGCAGCTCCTATTTTTAATAGTAGTTTTACAAACAGGATTGGAAGACGATTAGTTGTGTTTGCCATTGAAAAATAATAGAACAAAAATGCATAAAACAGTGCTGTCTTTTTAAAATAAAAAATGTTGATGTTTAAGAGTACTCTTTATTTTTATTTATCTTTGTAATATCAGCAGTAATATTGATATAGACCTATAGAAATTAAATAATATTGATCTTCTATATGTTTTTTGAGATAACCAAAACATCAAATGTAACAATCATGTTTTCTAAAATACCAAATTGCATCTCTATCTTGAAGTTTACTGTTAATGTGACAACTTTTATTTCTGTACTACTTACAGCCCGTATCCCAGCCATTTGGAGTTGAACAACAATCAGCTCTTCTAAAACCAGATTTAGTTCATAGGTAAGTATCTTTAAATTAATACCATGTGTATATGATTAATTGTGGCATTGTGGGTTAATATGCTGGACTGCAAGGTCAGTTTGAATTGCAAGGTTGGCGGTTAAAGCTCACCAGCCACTCCTCAGAAACCCTATACAGGGTCAGTATGAGTCAGAACTGACTCGATGGCACTTAACAACAACCACCACTTGATTAATTTATGTATCAAGACATTAGTATGTATTGATCACACAAGTTGCTCTGCTTTGTATTTGTGTGTATGCTAATAAAAGTTGTAGGTGCTATTTTTACTTTTTATGTCAATAGTGAGTATTGTTTTATGTTCAAGTTCCTATCACTCATCTGTCAGTTTGTCATACTGTGGTGACTTGCATGTTACTGTGACGCTGGAAGCTATACCACTGGTATTTTAAATACCAGCGAGTCACCCAAAGAGAACAGGTTTCATCAGAGCTTGCAGACTAAGACAGATGAGGAAGAAGAAGAGATGAACTATTTCTGAATGTTTACTCAATGGAAACCTTATGAGTAGCAACAGAACATTGTCATCTATAGTGCTGGAAGATTAGTGCCTGAGATAAGAAGCCACTCAAAATATAACAGAGGAAAAGCTGCCTCTTTGAATTAGAGTTATCCATGATCACATGAATGAAGTAAATCTTTCAAGACCATCATTTGCTGATGGGGCATAGTGCAAAATGAGAAATAGTTGCAAACATCTGTTAATAAGTAGAACATGAAATGTATAAACTATAAATCTAGGAAAATCTGAAGTTGTCAAAAATGAAATGGAACACATAAATATTAATATCCTAGGAGTCCTGGTGTGGCGCTGTGGGTTCATGCGGCAGATTGCAAAGCTGTTTGAACTGCAAGGTCGGTGGTTCAAGATCACCAGCTGCTCCTCGGAAACCCTATACAGGGTCACTATGGGTTGGAACCGACTCAATGGAACTTCACAACAACTGAAATGAACTGATATTGGCCATTTTGGATCAGACAATCATATGGATTACTATGCCAGAAATAACAAATTGGAAAGGATTAATGTCATATTCATTGTCAAAAAGAACATTTCAAGATCTCCCTTGAAGTACAGTGCTGTCTGTAGTAGGATAATATCCATATGCCTACAAGGAAGACCAGTTAATACCACTATTATTCAAATTTATGGACTAACTACTAAAGTTAGTGATGATGAGATTCAGCAATTCTGCCAGCTTCTTCAGCCTGAAATTGATCAAATATGCAATTAGGATATATTTATAATTACCAGTGATGGGAATGCAAAGATTGGAATCAAAGACAAAGGACATAGTTGGAAAATATGACCTTGGTGATAGAAATGATACTGGACATCGAGAATTTTACAATACCAATGAATTATTTGTTGGAATGATCTTTTCTAATAACATAAAAAGCAATGATACACATGATATGGCCCTGTACAATAAGGCCTGGACTGCTAACTATATGATCGGCAGTCAAATCCACTAGCTGCTCCTCAGAAACACTATACGGGATTGCCATGATTCAGAACCAACTCATGGGCACTTAACAACAACATACACATGAACCTCACCAGATGGAATACAAAAGAATCAAAATGACTACATCTAAGGAAAGAGACAGATGTGGCACCATAGGATAAGCACTCGACCTCTAGGTCGGTTTGAATTGCAAGGCCAGTGGTTCAAACTCATCAGTCGCTCCTTGGAACCCTATACAAGGTTACTATGAGTCAGAACTGACTCTAAGGCACTTAACAACAACAACAAATTCAGGCTGAAGTTGAAGAAAATTAAAACAATCTACAAGAGTCAAAATATGGCCTTGAACATATCCCACCTGAATGTAGTGACCTTATCAAAGAACAGATTTTATGCATTTGACACAAATGACTGAAGACCAGAAAAGCTATGGGATTACATCAAGAGCATCATACAGGAAAAAAAGCAAAAGGTCATTAAAAAGACTGAAAAGAAAGAAAAGACCAAAATGGATGTCCGAAAAGACACTGAAATTACTCTCCAGCGTAGAGATGCTATAACAAATGAAAGAAATGAAGAAGTCAATGAGCAGAACAGAAAATTTCAAAGGCAGCTTGAAAAGACAACGTCAAGTACTATAATGAAAACTGCAAAGACAAAAGGGAAGTTTTGTCTTGTCAGTTCTTTCTCAAACTGAAAGAACTGAAGAAAAATTTTAAGCCTAGGCTTGCATTGTTGAAGGACTCCATGGGCAAAATATTGAATGATGCAAAAAGCATTAAAAGACGATGGAAGGAATATACAATCTCACTGTACCGCAAAGAAATGGTTGCTGTTCGACCATTTCAAGGCCTGTGATCAAGAGTCAGTGTTAACTGAAGGAAGAAGTCCAAGATGTACTGAAGACATTGGTGAAAAACAGGATTTCGGGAATTGATTGAATGCAAATTGAAATCTTTCAACAAACTGATGCAGCATTGGAGTTGTTCATCCATTTATGCCAAGAATTTTGGAAGACCGTTACCTGTCCAACTGATTAGAAAAAAACCATATTCGTGCCCATTCCAAAGAGTGGTGAATCAGCAGAATGCAGAAATCATCTAACAGTATCATTAATGAAAACTGCAAAATTTTGCTGAACATAATTTAAAAATGGTTGCAACAGACAGAATTTCAAGCTAGATTCAGAAAAGGATGTAGAACTAGGATTATGATTGCTGACATCAGATAGGTCTTGGCTGAAAGCAGAGTACACCAGAAATATGTTTACTTGCAATTTATTGACTATCCAATGATTTGGCTATCTGGATCTTGACAAACTATGGATACAATAACAAAGAATGGATATTCCAGAACACTTAATTGTGCTCATGAGGAACTTATAAATAGACTAAGAGGTAGGTAGTCCTTAGAACTAAACAAGGGAATACTGAGTGATTTAAAATCAGGAAAGATGTGCATCAGTTGTATCCTTTCTCCATACTTATTCAATATGTATGCTGAACAGATAATCCAAGAAACTGGATTATGTGAACAAGAATGTTATTATTAGGTCTCATTAACAATCTGATATGCAGATGATATAACCTCGCTAGCTTGACGCACAGAGGACTTAAAATACTAAAATACTTACTGATGAAAATCAAAGACCACCGACGAGTATAGATTGCACCTCATGTAAAGGAAATAAAATTCATCAGCACTGGCACTGGACCAGTAAATAATATATAAATGGAGAAAAGATTAAAATTGTCAAAGACTATTTTTTTTTTTGACATCTCAAAGAGGCATTTTTTTTTTTTTTAAAGGTTTTTGTGGATTGAGTAAAAGTTTACAGGGCATATCATCAGTTTTATATTCAACAAATCATATACCTTGTTTCATTACATTGGTTATAATCCCCATCATGTACCATCAGTTAATAGTATTTCTCTCTGTCCACTTTAGCTTTTTAAAAACACACAAACAAAAAAACTCACTCAGGCATATATAATAATTTACATCTCCAAAGGGCACATTCTGTAAGTTGGCTCCTAGCCACCAGCTCTTAGTCCATCTCTTCTTAGTCCATGAATCCAGAATCCTCACCGCTCCGATTCTCCATGCCCCCATCTCTGCCTCCATCGCTGGTGCTGCTGCTTCTCTGGATAAACGTCCCGCATTCTGCTTGCGTGTTCCTCTCTTGATGGTCCTAGGGTCCTCTGTTTCTGGACTGTAAGATTAACCACTCCCCTTTTTATGTTACAAAACTTACACCTTTACAATTGTCACAGTCGCGATTAGTCACAATAACAGTTATTCACTATTGAATTTTATGAATCTTACCCCCATCTCTTTTCACCAGACCCATCTAGACAAGATGATAGCTATTCAGTGGGGACTATTTCTTTCCCCCCACACTCTTAAATTAAACTCCCGCTTGAAACCTTGTAAGCCAGTCACTTCGTGCCTTTATTGCCCCCTCATTTTAGATAGCCATTGTCTAAGTTGCCCGTTCCTGTCTACCCTGTGCACAGAGCAGATAGCATTGATACTTGATTTGAAGACTATTTCCCTCTCTGTTGGTATTTAGAATAACTACTGCTCTGAGTATAGGTCAGGTTCATCATGAAGATGTATCATCTGTCACTGTAGCTGTTCTAGTCTGCTTGTCCTTTCTAGTGGGAATGTCTCACCTCATAAGGCTGTGGATGGAACTCAGGATTCCACCTAAGGTCCTATACTCTGAAAGGCGTTGCATGAGGCCTATTTCACTGGGCAAGTTGTAGAACCCCTTTAGGTATTCCAATCAGTTATAGGCTCAAGGCGGGCTTACAAGTTTTCTCTAATCATGTTTCCCAACATTCCTTTCTATCCCACTCAAGTGTCTATTTTACAA